GTGACATAGCGGATCCAGTTGCAAATGTCAGAACTGGTGGAGCCAAGCCACTTGTCATGGAAATAACGGTGGAATAGCGAAAGATTCGCGACATTTTCTCTGTGGCAAAGTGTGTGTGTAGTGTGGAAAATAATTTATCATCCACAACGTTGAGTGGTTGCTTTTGAACTTTCTCCAAACAAGTGAGGACAGCGTGTTCCATCATAAATGTATTTCTCACGATCATGATTCTGTGCCAGATTAACTTAATATATTGTGTGCGTGCAAAAAATTGCAGTTATTTCAGTATTTATTTTTCAAAAGAGCGCCTGAAACTTTTGCACACACCATAGTCATGCCATACGAAATGAATTTCAGCAGAAAAAAGTAGTGATACATTTTTAACAATAGTCAAGTCTTTTAATCCCTAATAAGCGTTTGAGATTATTATGTAAGATTCAGAGTTCATCAGAAATAATGGGTCATTACCGGCAAGATGGGAAGGACACCCCCCAAAACAATGTAGTTTCTTAATTTATTCATTTCATTTCATATTTTAATGATTTTAAACTTGATTATATCATTATTTTTCCATCTTGTTACACTTTTAGTTGTTGCTGTTGTTAGAAGTTTTCAAGTGATGTGGACTTTGTCATTTGATAAAGTATTTTGTGATTCTATAGTGCTAGCCTATATGACCTATATTGTTTTCTTTAAGATTTAGAACGTTCATTTGATTGAAGATATTTTAATAAGTGATCTGACAAAATTGTTGTATATAGCTGAATGAGTAGGATGCTATGTATGACATCCGTATGAGAGTCCAGATCTAACGAGGTTGTTTAAGTATATGACACCAGTTCTGTTGTTTCCAAGCATGTAAAGGTTTAAAATTTGTCATCGGAAATGGTATGATTGTCCCTAAGTTACTCATCACCTAAGTCTACGATGTCAAAATAACAGTCGCGCAAGAATGTTCTTGTTTACGTCATTCGTCTGGATTTTCCAGTATGCCTCTTGGATTTCAATGGAAAACAAAAACAAAATGCCCCTCATTCCACACCAATCATTCAGAATGGTTTCCCGTATGCCGCCACCGTACTTAGCACAAAGGCAGTGGTAGTGAAAAAACAACCGCCACACAAAGAACGCGATGACATCGCAACTCCCAAAGAGAAGTCATGGAAATCCCGCTAAACTAGGTTTCCGCCATTCAATATTTGTAAAGAGTTTCAAAACAGGAGGCTTAAGAAAATGAAGCGGAAATGTTTACTATATGTGTGTGCGTATGTAAGTGTATGTATACATATCTATGTGTGTTTGTATTATTGTATACGCATTCCTACACACACATATGCGCGCGCACACGCAGATACATATTCATAATGATAGATAGATAGATTATATATATATATATATGTGTGTGTGTGTGTGTGTGTGTGTGTGTGTGTGTGTGTGTGTGTGTATGGTTATGTACATAAGTATGTAAACACACATACAAACACACATATACATATTTATATATATATATATATATATATATATATTAACATACATTCATATGTATTCTATATATGTGTATCTGAACATAGCTGTGTATATGTATACCTATTCATATTTATACACAGACACACATACATATATATACATACATACAGTCACATAAATTCATTTGAATGATGATAGATAGATAGATAGATAGATTCGTATGCATTATATACATATATGTGTGTGTATGTATGGTTATGTACATAAGTATACAGACACACACAAACATATATACATACATATATATATATATTAAAATACATTCATATGTATTTTATATGTGTGTATCTGTACATAGCTGTGTATATGTATACATATTCATATTTATACACACATACACACACATACTTATATATATATATATGTATTTTATATGTGTATCTGTACATAGCTGTGTATATGTATACATATTCATATTTATACACACATACACACACACATATATATATATATATATATATATATATATATATATATATATATATATATATATATACAGTCACATAGAATCATTTGTATTAGATAGATAGATAGATAGATAGATAGATAGATAGATAGATAGATAGATAGATAGATTTGTACATGTAGTTATTATATAGTTATATATGAACATACATCTATATGTATTATGATTATGTACATAAGTATACAAACACACACACATATATATACATATATATATATGCACATACATTCATATGTATTATAAATGCGTGTCTATCTGTTTACAGCTGTGTATATGTATTCACATCCATATTTATACATATACATACATATATATATGCATAAATACGTACAGTGACATAGATTCATTTGTAATAGATAGATAGATAGATAGATAGATAGATAGATAGATAGATAGATAGATAGATAGTTTGATTTGTCCATGTAGTTATTCTATGGTAATGGTAATATTATCTATTTTCATATAAGGAAACATTCAGCATTCATTGACCAAGCATTTAAACTTGCCGTCGGTGGAAACTTATAAATTGTTTCTCTTGAAACATTTTTTCTTGAAAATAGGTTTCTGAAATCCAGTCGAAGTTATCACTCTGTCAAGTATTGATTGGAGTTTCCTTCCTTGCTTTTTGTTTGCGGTAGAGTGAAACGACAGAATCAGGATTATTTTCGAGTTACATGTGCTAAACATTTTTGCTGTTGCTGCTGTTGAAAGTCCTCAAATGACGTGGTTTCTGTTCTCTGTTACAGTTCTTTGTGAATCTGTAAAGCCAGTCCACAAGGTTCAATGAACGATGGTCCTCTTTGATGCCTTCCCGCTTCACTCGCTTGAAGCCATTTTTGACCATTGATCTGATAAACTTCTTGTATACAGCCAACGATTTAGATATTTCTGAGTATTTGGCACCATGCACAGCATCCATATGGAAGTATATTTAAGAACATAACTCTCATTTTTAAGTTAATAGTTATCTTCAGTAAGAGATATATAGAAGGAGAAAGAGAGAGAGAGAGAGAGAGAGAGAGAGAGACGTGTCCATGTGGCATGTGGGAATTATGTTATATATATATATATATTAAAATTTAGGAAGACAGATAGTATACGCGACCCTGGTTTCGACCCCACTGTGTCATCAGGCTAACTCTATCAGCTGACTAACCAACGATTTATTTTTTTAAAAAAAAGCACAAACAACGCTACATTATTATTTTTTAAAAATAAATGAACAAACAAATGCACGACAGCCAAATGCATAACGTTGAATGTAATAGAAAGGAGACGGGGGGTAAAGAGAAGGAAGGAAAAGGAAAAAAGAAGAAGGTGAAGAGAATAAGAGAAAAGAAGAAAGCAAGTGTATCGTAAATATATAAAAAAAAGTATATATATATATATATATATATATATATATATATATATATATATATATATATATAAAATCCTTGTCGAAAATTACAATTATACTTAAACATGAAAACAATAAACAAAAACTAAAAATTATTGAAGCTATATACATAAAACAGTTGAAACCTAACCTAAACAAAATAAACTTTGAAATCTCCACAGATATCCTTAAATATCTATAATTGGTAACAGAAGCCATTGGTTTATACCGACGACTTCCCATACTTAATACTTCTCAAATTCACTCTCGCGTGGTCATGTGTGACGTCATGAGCTACGGTGCGATTTTCGCTTCCAGCGTTTTATATGCACGTGTTTATCGTTACTTGGAAATCATCCATGTAAACAGAAACAGATTATCATTACATTCTTGTCCGTGTATTGCTTAATATATTGTACAGTAATTGCCATCTTTGATAATGGCTTATGTAAGCCGAAAGCTTAGATTGGATTAAAAAATATGGATCAGTATTGCGATTTTCTTTCTTCGTTTAATGATAATGTCATTAAGCTTATCAGGCGTTATGAAAAGAATTTACATAAAATAGACAACACTTGTCTATATATTTTTTTTTGAATATATATATATATATATATATATATATATATATATATATATATATATATTCTGTTTATCCGTTATTTTTATAGATACAATTTATTTAAGTAATTGTTCTGTTTTTAATTAAATAGTATTAATTACATTTACCGGCCTGAATGTTCGAGAAATTTCTTAGAAAATATTCGTTCTCTGACAGGAATCGAACCTGTATTCCTATACGAAAAGCGTCATTTTATCTAACGTGTTAAACTATTTAGCTACAGAGAAACGTCTGGTTAGCAAAATGCAAATTACTGTTTTTAAACACAATCTTCGACAATTTTTCTCGATCGATCATATCTGCTCACAAAATTGTATCTATAAAAATAACGTATTAACAAAAATGCATTAAATAATTGTCGGACTTAATACATTTTATTATATATATATATATATATATATATATATATATATATATATATATATATATATATATATATATATATATGCGTGTGTGTAAATTATTTTCAGATAGTGAGTATCTGTAAAGGAACAAAATGAATTGTCAAGATGAAAAACTATTCTTAGCCAACTCGTAAGGAATTATTTTTGTTGCCCGTGTTTATATACAAAATCAAGGATATCATTGGTTCATCAAGGCTTCTAAATTCATGAACGTTCTCAAATTTAAAAGCCTTGATAAACTAATGATATCCTTGCTCTTGTATACAAACACGTGCAACAAAATAAATTTTTACTTTTGCCTTGATAAATCCCACTAGAAGATGAAACTCGTCGGCTAAGAATAGTTTTTCCTCTTGTCTTTTTATTCAGATATATTTATATATTACAAACAGGCATAGATATCTATATGTGTTTATATCATATGTTATAGATAAAACTCAGATGCAAGCAAGCATAATCCAAATACACATGTAAGGGCATATGTGCGAAATTGCACTTCATTTATATGCATATAAGTGTGAACGTGTGCATCCTTGCCCATATAAGCATCTTATCTTTCTTTGTACACCTTATTTTTTCTTCCACCTTTATCGCCCCGATGATATGTGTGCTGGTATTTGTTTATTGTTCGAATTCATTTGTGTTTGTCTCAGGGAAAGAGTTTTTTTTTTCTACTTATTATTTAGAGAGAAACATTTTCATCATGGGTCATTTGCCTTCATTTTTTTTGTCTCTGTTTTCTTTAACTTCTCTCTAGACGACTTTGACTTCTTTCTTTCTTTCTTTCTTTCTTTCTTGTACCTTTTTCTTTCTTTCTTTTTGTCACCTTTCTTTCTTTCTTTCTTTTTGTCACCTTTCTTTCTGGTACCGTTTTTTCTTGTTTTAAACCTTGACATTTACCTTTTCTTCATTTATTTATACTTTTTTTATCTATTTATTTCTATTACGTTTCTTTCTACAACCTTACCTTTTCTTTCTTTCTTTTTTTCTTTCTTTCTGTCTTTTTTTTTTCTTTCTTTCTTTCTTTCTTTCTTTCTTTCTTTCTTTCTGATACCTTCTTTTTGTCATTATCTAATTATTTATTTCTATCACTTTTTTCTTTCCTTTTAGGCTTTCTTTCGTATTCACACCTATTATCCTTCACTCTTTTCTTGATATACTCCACTAATCTTATTACTTCTTATTATCGCTCTTTTCATCAATCCTCTCTCTCTCTCTCTCTCTCTCTCTCTCTCTCTCTCTCTCTATCTATCTATCTATCTATCTATCTATCTCTTACTAATCCCCGCAACTTCCATTTTCTTTCAATCGACATTTTCCCTTTTTTCTTCTCGCCAAATTTCCAAATCAAGCAAATACAACCGTAGGCAAAAGCCAGGACGTTCTTATTAAATGCCCCTATACACTCTAGAATACTATGTCCGTGTCAATGCTACAACAACGTTGCCACATTTTATATGAATAAATAAGAAAATTCCAGGAGACATGGAATGCACATAACAGATTTGAAACTGACCCCTAAAGTATTTATATTGTTTGAAATTTAATGAACATAATTATTGGTAACCGCTAAGGATCTTTTATTATATAATTGTATTTTCATGAATATCAAATTCATTCTTTTACAAAGCTGCAGACAGTGAAAGTTCATAAGTCAAGTCTTGCCAATAAAAACATAGATAACCACTTGAGAATTCTTTGTATGAAGTCAATGTAAATAATGATGGTAATAATAAAAAAAATGAAAAGAGACCGGTTTCTGTTCGGACGTTTTTATCTTTCGTGTTTATTTTTAATATTTACAAAGCCTCTTGTTGATCCATGTAATTAAATCCTTGATGTAATCGCGAAATGAAAGTTGCCTTGAACGGCCACTCGTCTACATCATTTCGCTAGAATCTAGCTTACATATTTATAAGTCTAACATTCGTCCATGCTTTGAATATTGCTGCAACATATGGTCTGGTAATCATGCTATATATAGTGATTCGTGATAAAATCAAAAGAAGAATCTGCAATGTTATTGATCCTGACCTGGAATCTCGGCTTCAATCATTTTCCCATCGCCGTAATTTAACTTCTCTGTACCTTTTCTATAAATACTTTCATAGTGTAGGCGAGTTATAATTCTAAGTAAATAATTATAAACACCCTTATATTTATATATACAAAAATACTCAGAAAAATGAGAAACAGCAAACAAAAGAAGTATTATTTATTATCTGGTTGTTATGTAATATTGGAGACACTAGAGACAGTAATACTAAGTAAAATTGGGATTTGGGGGTCAAATATAGATCAAATATGGATCGGAATCCGACAGAATGATAAAATAAAAAATAAGCAAAGTGTATGCAGTCTTTCTCGTGTGTGTGTGTGTGTGTGTGTGTGTGTGTGTGTGTGTGTGTGTGTGTGTGTGTGTGTGTGTGTGTGCTAAAAGATGTTCCTATATGAGTCTGAAAAGGAAAAGGAGACGAAATATTCGTTGACGCACGTGTTAACGATCTGTCGTGTGAACCGCTTGTCAGATAGTGAAAATGTTACGCGTTCGTGTGTAGAGGAGAAAAGTGGAGTAGATTCTCACTAGTTTAGAATGAGTGAATTAATGATAATTATAATTCTGTTGTCTCCATACAATAATAAAGAAAAATTGTAGTGTCAAAAAATGACACTACAATTTTTCTTTATTATTGTATGGAGAAAAACACCGTGACAAAATAATTATTTTTTATTTATGTATTTCTTTATGAATACGATAATTGCAATTGTTCAGATAAACTTTCCTCTATAGTACCTAGACTTTATGAATTTAAGTGCAGTACTAGATTCGCAGATAAATTTCATCATTTTACAGTTGAAATGGCTAAATATGACCGTAAGTTCTATGCTAATAGTTTCTTCTATCGCACTTCTTCTTGCTTTCCAACCAACTTTGATCTTCAAAACTTTTAATGCTACGTCAATCTTTATCTTTAGTCTTTTTAATTCTTATTTTTGTTGTGCTTTATCCATAACAATGTTTTCTTTTTCTCGTATTCAGTAACCCCTTACGTCTTAGTGGCTTTATTGCCTTGCTTAGGGGCGAAATCAAGCCATAGTTTAGTTTAGTGCCGCACAGTGGATGAAAGAAGAATGCGTGTAAAGCAATTTGATTGTGTTAAGCTAGTTTTCCAAATTGAGAAATGCTACCAGCCTAGAAAAGCAGTATTCAAAATCCTGACATTTACCGAAGCTCGAACACCGTCCACTGATGCTGGTGGAAATAATGGAAATACTTCAGCCGCTAAATAGACGATGTCGTTTGTATTTCCAAATTGGTCCATCTTTTCTACCCTGTTTTGATACTCCGTCCAAAAATGCTTACGTTTATTTTTTTGCCACCAACGTCCAACATTGATGTTCCTACCAAAATAACAATCAGCATTTCGACTGCTGATCTTCAAGGCTAGTGAATCCTTAACAATTTAAAAAAAAAAAAAAAAAAAACACCCATAATAGAATCTGTCTATAATTATTTGTTCAGATTTTTTAAAATTTATCTATGGCAAATCCTGTCTTTATATTTAATGCTATGTCCTTTCATGATGTACAGATATATATGTGAACTGCTATAGATTCTAGGTTTCCCGCTGCCTTCCCTACAGTCTACGAATTCAGAATAGTTTTAGAAAGAGCCTAGTTTCTTTTAATACCTGGTGGTGGGGAGAGCAGAAATAGATTAATGTCTTTTCCAAAGGCATTAGTGAGAAAGTGAACACATCAGACTTGGCCATAATTCGAACTCGGCTCGTAGATTCCACTTTACAAACTGACAACCGTTACGATATTTACGCACATAGAGAAATTAATAGTGTCCCTGTAATAGTGTCTTGTGTATTTTCAGCCATATTTGCTATAAGACGAAAACATAAATGCATAATACGTTGCAGAATTATTGGGTTTGTGCATAATTATTATGCGTTTTTGTAGACGAGTTATTTGTTAATAGATTTGCTGTTTTGTAATAAAATTTTAACTTTTTCTAATAAAAATATTATTTTATTTTCAGTTTATAAAAATGCGTGTCGATAATCATACGCTCCGGAATAATCATTTAAAAATGTTATTGTTGAATTGTTATGTTTCTTTTTTCATAATAATATTGTTTAAAAACGCCTGGTAATTATGCACCAACCCGTAAATATATTGTAGAATTACTAAGTACTGATTTTAATTATAGCTGAATTTAATTATTTTTAAAAGCTATAGTGCAGAATTACTATGTAGTGATTTTAATTATAGCTGAATTTAATTATTTTTAAGAGATATTGTAAATATATTACAGAAATTTTTAAATATTGGTTTTATTTATAGCTTCATTTAAATTTTATCGTAAATTGTCAAATAATGTTTTGAACTTGAGATTGATTCCCTTGTGAATACTGAATAAAATTATTACTGTATAATCTATAATATTATTGTGTTATGGTCGATGCAAATAAAATGTTTATGTCTTTCAAGAGCAAGTAATCGTTGGGATTTATTAATTAAAACGTATACAGTTGCTAAAATTAACAAACGATGAAACGCCATCATTTCAAAGTTTTAATTATTTAAATACGAAGCCCCATTAATTTATTTTATTTAATTAAACCTCGACTTGATTCTTTAAGCCCTTAATTTGGCAATATCCATCTTTGTAAACGATCTACGTTGTTTGTGTACGTTTTTAGCGTAAACTTTAAAAAAAAACATCCTTCTTAAGGTTTTCTTCATATAAAGTCCGGTCTTATTGAATACTAGGAAAACCAAACTATGAAATATATCGAATACGTAACCGTACCAGTGTTAGAAATCAATTTTAGATGCTGAATATTTCCCAGGTGATCGATTTACTATAATCTTTTATTGCAAAGTGATCGGAAAATAAGTTCCTGGGGTACTCGACAGAAATAGACCATTCTTGATATTTTGTCTCATTTTATACGCTTTTATTAAACTTAGTATAATAAATAAATTTTAAGGCAGTCATGTGCTACCAATACAAAAATATAGTACTTTAATGAAACATTTATTCTAAGTAAATTTTAGAAAACTTATCATTAAATGTAAAGTATTCTTTTATGTGAATTCAGTTTCATCATAATTCTGAAAATTTTCTTGGTGACGAGGGAACAAATTATGCCGGAAAAAATAAGACAAAAATTTGTTCTTGAAATAATAAAAACTTAAAATAACAACTTACGTTTAATTACTGAAGTAAATATTGGTTATTCTTGTATAGAAGAAACTGTAGTTACATGCAAGCAAACAGAGACATGCGAAAATAAAAATACAAATCCTACCGATGAATCAGAAAACAGTGCTTTCAAAATTCAAAAACTGACTGAACGGTTGATATGAGATTTATTTTTCCGATATTGAACAGTGTGGACTTACCCCACTTACTTTTCTACAAGAAAACGCCGCTAGGGGACACTACCTATGCTTATAAGTAGGAAGTAAAAATCTCTGTCATCCTCTTTTTCTTTTTTCACTCAGAGATGTTAAAATGTAGGTGGAACGAGGAAAACGCTTTCATGGTAATCGTTCGGATGAGCTCTTCGCCATGGTACCTAGACTTTATGAATTTAAGCATAGGAATAGACTGGCGACGAGGTCGCATCAATTTACAGTTGAGTTGGCTAGATGCAACCGTAAGTTCTATGCTGTTTCTTTTCTCGTACTTCACGCTTGTACTTACTCTCTTCTGGCTACGTGCATTCGAGTCAACTTTAATTTTAAAAACTTTAAATGCAATGTCAATCTCTATCTTCTTTCCTTCTGATTACTCTTTCTTTGTTCCACCCTCTCATTAGTACTGTTTCTTTTTCCTAATTCTTTCACACCCAGTTAGTCCTTGTGTCTCAGTGGCTTTATTGCCTTGCTTGGAGCGAACTTGCTTTAAAAACAGTGTAGATGTTTCTGTCTAATTTGAAAGAAAATAACGTGTTTTATTAAATTTCTAGCAGCCATACAGAGCTAGTCGATCAGAAAAAGCGTTCAATTAGAATGGCAAAAAAACAGCATCATGTTTAGATGTAACTGAATCTTCTTAAATTACTTTAAAGTACTTTCATTGAAAAAACATTTGAATTAATGCAGTTACTGATATAACAGAAATAGTCTGTATTTATTCAATCGAAGTTAGCTGAAGACATGAAGGGGTAAAACAGGCAACATGAAAACCCACTTTGAACTAAAATAATTTTAAATTTTTTGAAATTCAATTTGTCGGCGTTCTACCAGGGATGTAAAAGAGGATATATTTATAAAGCAATTGTTAATTTTGATGAAAATTGGTTGAAAGTAAAAAATCGCCATTCTTCGCTATTTATGCGGATTTTCA